CTCTAGATCTAAGTCTTGGCTTTCTTTCTGGAAGTGGCGGCTGGTCTCTAACTCAGGACTGGAACCAGGGTCGAATTCGTCAAAAGGATTGGGACTGGCTTCGTGATCGTGATCAGACTTAGGGCTGTGACGATGATCAGGCTTAGGACTCTGGCGATGATCTGGTTTAGGACTGTGACGAAGACCAAACTTAGGACTGTGATTATGACCTAACTTAGGGCTGTGACGACCAAACTTAGGGCTGTGATGACCGAACTTAGGACTGTGATGATGATCAGACTTAGGGCTCTGAAGATGATTTGATTTTGGGCTGTGATGATGATCAGGCACGGTTTTGTAAACATGGTCTGTCTTAGGGCTGCGGTGATGACTATGCTTGGCTTCGAGATCGTGACCAAGCTTGGCTTCATGATCGTAACCAGGCTTGACTTCGTGATCATGGTGAGACTTGGCCTGGTGGACATGGTGATGATTGGAGTCTTCTTCTTCGACATAAGTGGCGTGGCTGGTGACAATTTTCGGCAGATATCTTAAATCCTCGAGGGCCTTAGACACGAACGTAGACTGAGGGAAGATAAATAAAAAAGGCGACTTAGTCAAGACACATTATCTAACAAAGTAAAAACCAATAACTTGTCTGCACGAACTTTTTTTTTTAAACACACCGGTTTCTTCCCACCGAGGTAGAATGACCCCAAAAGAAGAAACACGTTACACCATCACTCATTCAATAGTTTAGTAAATCTCCAACACACTCCTGTAACGTCTTGATATCGACACCTTATTTGAATACATGATAATATTATCCTAATGACACGATGATGGACCAGAATGAACCGAAATGTCCTAAGTACGAGTCTTCGGTGAGTACAAAAGACTGTTTATCCATGATTCATGCAACATCAGCCATAATTATTTTTTCGGATAGTGTGTTAGTAGAGAAAGATGAGTATATGTCAGTAGATAATCTACCTTCTGTGTTGTACCCCTCCTGTGTTGTACCCCCCTCCTGTGTTGCACCCCTCCTGTATTGTACCCCTCCTGTGTTGTACCCCCCTCCTGTGTTGCACCCCTCCTGTATTGTACCCCTCCTGTATTGTACCCCTCCTGTGTTGTACCCCCTCCTGTGTTGCATCCCCTCCTGTGTTGTATCCCCTCCTGTGTTGTACCCCTCCTGTGTTGTACCCCGGTGTGTTGCACCCCTCCTGTGTTGCACCCTCCTGCGTTGCACCCCTCCTGTGTTGTACCCCTCCTGTGTTTCACCCCCTCCAGTGTTGTACCCCCGCCTGTTTGCACCCCTCCTGTGTTGTACCCCCCTGTGTTGTACCCCTCCTGTGTTGTGCCCTCCTGTGATGCACCCCTCCTGTGTTGTACCCCTCATGTGTTGTACCCCTCCTGTGATGCACCCCCTCCTGTGTTGCACCCCTCCTGTGTTGCACCCCTCCTGTGTTGTGCCCCTCCTGTGTTGGGCCCCTCCTGTGTTGTAACCCTCCTGTGTTGTGCCCCTCCTGTGTTGTACCCCCTCCTATGACGCACTCTTCCTGTGTTGTGCCCCTTCTGTGTTGTACACCCTCCAATGATGCACCCTCTTGTGTTGTACCCCTCCTGTGTTGTGCCCCTCCTGTGTTGTGCCCCTCCTGTGTTGTACCCCTCCTGTGTTGTACCCCCTCCTATGACGCACTCCTCCTGTGTTGTGCCCCTCCTGTGTTGTACACCCTCCTATGATGCACCCTCTTGTGTTGTACCCCTCCTGTTTGTGCCTCTCCTGTGTTGTACCCCTCCTGTGTTGCACCCCTCCTGTGTTGTACCCCTCCTATGTTGTACCCCCTTCTGTGTTGTACTCTTGTGTTGTACCCCTCCTGTGCTGCACCCGTCCTGTGTTGTACCCCTCCTGTGTTGTACCCCCTCCTGTGATGCACCCCTCCTGTGTTGTACCCCTCCTGTGTTGTATCCCCTCCTATGATGCACCCCTCCTGTGTTGTGACCCCTCCTGTGTTGTGCCCCCTCCTGTGTTGTGCCCCCTCCTGTGTTGTACCCCCTCCTGTGTTGTACCCCCTCCTGTGTTGTACCCCTCCTGTGATGTGCCCATCAAGGGGCCTTGATACAAGTGAGGGGCTCTCGTAAGCAATTGAACATCTCCTTTCTATCCTAAGATCAAACCTAATTGTTTTCCATTCCCCCAGGCGCTGTATGACCCGTACAGGTTTAGTGCTTCCTCCTGAATGTAATAATAATAATAATAATAATAATAATAATAATAATAATAATATAATAATGATAATTCCTGTAATACAAGGGGGTTTATAGGCTGGGTGAAAAGCTTTTCTCGTGGTTAATAATTAATTAGTAAACAGACGCAAAATTGCGCATCTACTGACGTACCATAATAAGCACTTATTAATCACGCTATTGTCTTTTAAATAAATCCATCTCATCGGACTGACATGTGCCATGATTAATTTGCCTGGGCTGGTTGTGTTGTTAACTGCACGGTGTTTTGAGAGTAAGTTTATTTATCCTTGTGTTCTGTCCTTGCGCTTACATGCAGGCTTATTCGTATATAATTTTGTGGGCAACAAACACGGTAGTTGTTTCCACCGTAAAGGAGTTTAGGTGGGGATGATGGTATATATCTCATGTATACGTGAGTAGGCTGCTTAATTGTGCCTGATTGGTTCATTTATATTTTGTCCGCCAAAGAGGCTAGTTTTTGTACTCTCCATGTTCATCCTGTGGGTGACAGTGGTTAGTTTACTGTGTATCCCTTGTTCATTCAGTGAACGGTTGCACAAGAGCATATGTATACACAAATGGCCTAGGAACTAGGCCTCAAAAGAGTTAACATAAGTACATCTGAATTTATTACTACAATTTATCTTGTCTGTTGCCAGCAAATTTAGAATATTTGCTCAATGTCTGGTATTGAGATACCTAGATATATCACATAGGTTATTAATTATGCTAGTTATGTTAATAAGATACATGTGGTTTATGGCATTTTTTGAAAAGACGTTTCGCTCGCTGAATCAGTTCAATCCATGAGAATTGATAACTACCTGGTGGAGAATACGCCTCTTGAAAAAATGTCAAACCACACATAGTCTCACTGTATATTTCATCATAAAATTTATATGCCTCAACTAGTTGGACATGACTAGTTTTTCTTATATGACGCGCTCACTAATTCTCATTTGGTGGGGCGTGGTGGGCTAGTTGAGAATTTATTGTGGGTAGTGACGCGCGCGCGTGTGTGTAGCCTTCACCCCCCCACCCCTACACCATGTGTTAGTCCTGGCTCCTGGGGTCCCTCTAGATCAGTGTTCATGTTATTTGCATGTTAATATGATCACGTGTATCAGAGGGGAAGGAACAATGGCTGGGGGATGTAAGGGGTAAGATTTAACCCGCATATCTTCGGGTATATTATAATTATTACATAGCCAAAGGGAGTGTGTAGACACTAACACATTAACGATCGAGCCACACGGCTGAGAGTATTATTATTATAATCAAAAAAGAAGCGCTAAGCCACAAGGGCTATACAGCGCTGCACACGGCTGAGAGTATTCTTTCATTATTATTATCAGTAGAAGCAGCAACAACAGCAGAAGTAGTAATAGCATTAGTAGTATATTCCTGGAGAGAGCTAAACTCGTTAGGGGTTATTCAGAACCTGAGGAGTGGGAGATGGATGGGGTTGAGCAGCATCCAAGCCTTCTTCCTGAGCATCATCCATCCTGGAGAAGTATATGGGCGGACAAGATGAACTAAGGGAAAATACACAAGACACACATTGCGGGTTATGCAATTTATTTTCAAGACGTTTCGTCCATCAGGGTCGAAACGTGAACTGATAAAGTCCCTGGTCGAAACGTCTTCACAATAAAATACCATAACCCGCATTGTGTGTCTCGTTTACATATTGTTGGAGCACTCCACCATTGTTACCAACTGAGGTGCGATATATCACAACCCCTGCAGAGCTTTAGTGAAATATGTGAGACTGGACATGTTAATGACTGTCATGTGGAAAGAGAGGACAATGGCAGGGTGGTATGCAACAAATTATTGAATACGTTGTCTATATTACGTCCTGTGTAATTAACGTTGTATAGAGGGAAGGGGAAGTTACTGATCAACATATTGCAATATTCCGAGATATTTTTTTTTATCCTACAAAAAAAAAAAAGTACGTCGGGACTTATGCGAAAGTCAGAATTGCTGTCATGGAATATTTTTGTGTTGCATTACGTTAATGATCTGGAATACTAACAAGAACTTTTATACTGATAAGGATAAAAGGAGGGTTACGGTTGCCGAAGAGAGGGAGGCATAAGGATGCATGATATCTGGATAAGGGCTTTGCTTATATTTCAAGCGTCAACTTATCCACAAAGGTACCTTCAGCACTGGTAGTCGGGGAACATGGCAAGGTCAGCAGCGACCTTCAAGAACATGAGTGGTCGAGAGAGACACGGAAGCAAACACTAAGACATTTATTAGAAATGTTCCAGGACCGAAACGTTTTCTAATAAATATGTTTTAGTGTATGCTTACATGTGTGTTTTTTTTTTTAAACCAATTTGTCGGTATGTATTACCAAGGTGAATACCAAGAACGAGTGAATGATTCACGATGACCTCTAGGCGGCTGTGCATCATCGTGACCTTCAGACCTTACACTGGCTGTGTGGGTTGATGACTCCGCCTGTGAATACACATGTCGAGTCACTGGGTAAATTGTGCATCTAAAGACGAGTGTGATTCGGTTCAGTACTCTCCAGAGTGCCAGAGGTGAGAGAGGTGGCAGTCAGGCTCTTGCGAGGTACGATAGTGGTGAATATTGTGGAGGTGGTGGTGGAGGCGGCTCGCACGGCCGGTGCAGCCCGTGTGTGTGATCAATGGTTTTGAAAACCGACAAGTTGAAGACTGAGACACTTATGCAACATATGGGAATCTTCAACTTGTCGGTTTTCAAAACCATTTATCACATCTGTCAGACAATGCAACATCAAAGAATTCTTCAACACTTGTCCAACTTTTGGACGAAGACCTACTTACACTAGTGGATGGTCCCACTGTGATCCCGCCTCCTCCTGCTTCGACTCACCTGTCTACAGAATATAAGCCACTTCTCTGGCCCTATGCTGTACTTTCTACAAAACTGATAGACTTAACACATCGATTCCAGGCTAAGAGACTGATTACTTCAAAATCCTCCACTCCTTACACCTTTCTGCATTGTATTGGACTGATAAAGCCACTGTGTGGCGAAACGTTTCTTCAATAAAGATTCCCATGTGTTGCATAAGTGTCTTCAACTGTGCAACCCATCCTCACACAGGACATGAAAAACGTGTTGTTTCCAGTTATCTGCGTGACTGGTTTAATGCAAAATAACAAAGTGGTAGAGTGCGACTATGCAAAAACTCTCAGAAATGCCTAGAGGACGAGTTGGTCTGTGGTGGCCTGAGTACTGCTTTCCACGAGATTTCATTTGTGATCACACTAGTGTGTGCGGCGGTACATGATGGCTTCCTCGCTGTTACCAGCCTCGCATCTTTC